CACTTGTTAGAAACCCTGTGAGGCAGTTCTACCGTGTCCTATAGGGTCACTGTAAGTTGGAATTGACTCCACTGCAAAGGGTTTGATTTTTTTTTTTTTTCCAGTTGCCTGCTTGAGGGGGTGGGGGTGTTGGGAAAGATGTAATTCTAGACGCAATTGCTTCCTTGCAGAGTTAATTTCTCTCCCTGGGGACAAGAGGAGGGGGCTATAGACCTGACCTTCTGGACTTTAAGGGATTGTGACACCAGGCAAAGGCTGCTTGCTTCCAGCTTTACCAGGTGGGGTCTGACCCCTCTTTCTGCCATTGTGGGCAAGGGGAATCATATTTAGGCTAACAAACTGGAGGACTAAGGTCTGGTGCACTGGCTTGCTGGGTATCTTGGAGGTGGTGCCTAAACCTCTCTGTGCCACCATCTGTTGAATGGAGAAACTTACACCCAACTCACCTCACAGGGTGACTGTGAGGGTAAAATAAGATAAGATGACGTTGTACAAACTCATGCCAGAAAGAGACGGCTGCTGCAGGAGGTAATAAAACTCTGATATTCAAAGTAATTGCAAACACTGCTGGCAAGAAAGAACAGGGAGTTTTATAGAAAATCTTGTGAGGCTGCATTTGTAGCTTTCCAGTGAGCTATGGTTTGAAAAGCACGCACAAAATGTGAAGGAGAAATGCGTAACCCAAGATGCATGCAGAAGATTAGCAGGATCTCTAAGAAGAATAGTGTTAGCAAAACTCTGAAGCTCAAATGAGCAGAAGCTGGGGAAAACTGGCAGAGACAGAGCAAGGAGCTTTTCAAGTCTAAGTAGGGTTAACAAGAAGGAATCTGCTCGGGGCTTGGGGCACGTGTGTAACCTTAATGAACAAGGAAGGGCAGGCAGAGCAGGGCACAGGCAATTTTATTTCAAATGGTAAAATGAAGAGCATAAGGAGGAAATTGAAACCCCAAATAGGGGAGTGATAGGAAAAAGGCATCAAGCCACCTACAAAGAGCTCAGCCCTAGAAGCCCAGACATGACATCCCAGGACCTAGAGGTATTTGCAGATGTAATCCTTGCCTTGGAGGAAATTACAGAGAATGAGGGAAGTGCCAGAAAACTCAAGATGGGCAAATGTCTTGATTTTCAAAAAGAGAAGAAAGACAGATTAAAAACAAACAAAAAAAAAAACAAACAAACCTTGTGAACTATGAAGATTAATATTGTCCTCTATTAAAATTCCGAAATAAATTATTAGACACATAGTGAGCACTTTGGAGATAATAGAGCAATCAGACATCTCAGAATTTCTTCAAAGAAGGCCGTCCTCCACATTTGCGAAGATGTGTGCATGAGCATATTCATCCCAGTGCAAAAGTGGAAACCATCTAAAAACCAAAGCCAAACCAGTCACTGTGGAGTTGAATCTGACTCATGGCGACCCCATATGTTGCAGACTAGAACTGCGCTCCATAGGGTTTTCAAGGCTGTGACCTCTTAGAAACAGATCATCAGACCTTTCTTCCGAGGTTCCGCTGGGTGCCCACCTTTCAGTTAGTGGTAGAGTGTTTAATCATCTAGACATCCATAAATTAAGTAAATGATGAGCTATACCTACAATGGCATGCTATGCAGACATTAAAAACTGTGTTTAGGATGTTATTTATTGGCATGGAAATATATTCACTGTCTACTGTTAAGTAATAGAAAAGCAAACTTTAGAGTGTATGTGTATTATGATCCCCTTTATGAAAATTACACAGATTTATTACTGGACATATACATAAAATATATGCAGAGATGGTCACTAAAATCTTTGTTTGGGTTCCCCTGAAAGCATACCCTAAGACAAGGACTTGGATACAGGAAGTTTATTTGGGAGGTGATGCTAGAAGCAGAGTGAGGAAGTGAGATAGGGAGAAAATACAAAAAATGGGTGCATCATAATATGAGCTAAGGAGCCCTGGTGGCACAGTGGTTAAGTGCTTGGCTGCTAACCAAAAGGTCGGCAGTTTAAACCCACCACTGCTCACGGGAGAAAGATGTGACAATCTGCTTCCCTAAAGATTACAGCCTTGGAAACTCTAAGGGCAGTGCTGCTCTGTCCTATAGGGTTGCTATGAGTCAGTATCTGACTTGACAGCTGGTTATATCTGTGGGCAATGGGGGATTCTCTCTCTCTGGGGACCCTCTGAACAAAGTGCAGAATGCACCTGAAAAGTGTCCCCACATGCAATGGGGAGCTGATATCTCTTAGCTCTGCCTGTTGGTTGAGGGTTGCCTAACTCCTACATTTTTTGGGTTGTTCCTGTTTGTGGCTTCGGAGAAAGCAAAGCAGAGAGACTGCTGGGTATGGGCTTAACGTGGGACACTGGACGTGCAATGAGCTGTCCACCCCAGCTGAAATCTTTGGGCAGAGGGAATGCGGCAGGAAACATCACAAATGCATTTGTCGTAGTGGCTTTCTCTGGGCGTGAGATTTCAGTGATTTTTACTCTCTTGTAGTGCTCAGAACTGTTTTATAATAAGCACATATTTTTATAAAAACAATAAACCCATTTTCAAAAAGAAAGAAAGTAATGTAGTGCTCACTAGGAGCCTACGTGGGTTCATGAAGAACAAACCAGGCTGTCTTAGTTATCCAGTGCCACTATAACAGAAATACCACAAGTGGATGACTTTAACAAGGAGAGATTAATTCTCTCACAGCCTGGTAGGCTAGAAGTCCAAATTCAGGGTGTCAGCTCCAGGGGAGGGCTTTCTCTCTCTGTCGGCTCTGGAGGAAGGCCCTTGTCATCAATCTTCCCCAGTCGAGGAGCTTCTCAGCGCAGGAACCCTGGGTCCAAAAGACACTATTCTCCTGGCTCTTGTTTCTTGGTGGTATGAAGTCCCATGTCTCTGCTCACTTCTGTCTTCAATATCTCAGAAGAGATTGGCTTAAAACACAACCGTATCTTGTAGTCTGAGTCTTGCCTTATTAACATAACTGCCACTAATCCCACCTCATTAACATCATAGAGGTAGATTTTACAACACATAGGAAAATCCCATCAGATGACAAAATGGTGGACAGTCACACACTACTGGGAATCATGGACTAGCCAAGTTGACATATTTTTGGGAAACACACTTCAATCCATGACACAGGCTAAACCAATTTCCTCTTTCAGATTGGATTCTAAGAGGGAAAAAGACAAATGACAAGATTTCAGCAGGATGCTGGAAAAATATCTCATGAAATCCTGTGAATGGCTACAGGCGTTGCATCAGTGGCTGGATAGCAACCTAGAAGTTCCTGATCTTGACATGGCTTTAATTAATCATTTAGGTGGAAAATAAAAGGTATGCTTATCAAATCTGTGGATAACAGCCATAGCACCCACGAGGTAACAGATCCAAAGGAATAGATTCTAAACGTATTGGAATGCTGGATTGAAACCAAGAAAATGAAATTTCAGAGGGCTAAATGTGAAGTCCTGGATTTAGGCCCCAAAAAGCAATTACATACTTTAAAATGGGGAAGACCTGACTTGTATTGAGGAAAATTACTAGGGGCTCAAAGCTGGCTGCCAGTATGATGGGCCTGGAGCCCCTTGTGGTGAAGACCCTAGGATGTGCAGGATGGGGAGAAGACAGAGATGCGGGGTGATCCTGGGGACAGGGACACTCTCCTTCTTTGTGGCTCCACAGAGCAGAACAGGAACTGGTGGGGACAAGTTGCAGTAAGATAATTCAACTCAACATCAGGAAGAACTTGTTGTCACTCAGAGCTGGCCTAGGACCTGTCTCCTCATCAGTTCCCATTCTCCAGCTTGAGCAGAGAGCTGATTACTGACTGGGGGGCAGAATTTTTAGTAAGCTGGACCAAAGACATGGTCTGGAGGAGTCTCTCAGGGCCCAGGAGCCTTCTCCCAACATCTACAGACAGATGGTGCAGAGTTGGTCACACCTCTGACTGAGTTGCTGGGGCTGGCCCAGCAGTAACCCCATCAGGCCTTCCCCACTGGGTTAGCCATGGTGCTATGCTGTGGGGTAAACCAGCAGAAGGACAGCAAGTCAGATCCACTCCACATCCCAGTCCTAGCCCAACCCCAGTAGCCTCCCTGCTGCCCACTCAGCCTCCAGCCAGGGAGCTCTGTGGCTGAGGGAGGCCCACAGACTGAGAGGATATGTGCCCACACTGGCTGGGGCTATGGGTTGACATGCAGGGGAAAGTCACTGGAGAAAGAAGGGGCAGAGGAACAAGCCAGCTGATCTCCCTTCAGCACAGGACACAGCAGCATCTTAGGGGCCCCAGTGGGTTCCTGTTTTTGGTGCCCCTCAGAGTACCAGCCCATGCAAAAGCTTCCAGAGACACTGTGCTCTCTTCTTCACGAAGCACCTCATACCCTGGAGCTGCCCATCCAGCCTGGGAGGTGTATTTTTATACAAATACAAAATAATTAAGTTCAGCCTCTACTTCTTGAAAACCTGCTGCCTTCTCACTGATACCTGAAATTTCAAGATTTGCTTTTTCTGATTTAAGGTTTGACTCCCGATGAAATGCAAACACCCAAACACAGCACTTCAAGCTGTTATGAATCATTTGCTCATCCATGTGAGCAAGTTTATCAGAACCTTTTCTAAAAGAAGATTCTGCTAGGGCTGAGGGA